TTCTTTAACAATCAATATTATTTATCTTTTGATTACCATGCTATTAAATAATTTTAATATAATATAATTAGTAACTTGTATTAAATTTTTTTTTCAGTGAAGTTAGTTTTACTGATGCTGGTAACTATACTTGTATTGCTACTAATAACTATGGTTCAGCAAATGCATCCGGAACACTTTCTGTTAAAGGTATGCAATACAAAGTTTGTATTTTGAACCATTTATAATTTATTTATACAACTTATATCTTAAATTATTACATTTCATCTATAGAACATACACAAATCACTGCTGCACCAGAAGACTATGAGGTAGTTGCTGGATCAGTAGCCACATTTCATTGTACTGCAACTTCCGATCAATCTTTGCATCTTAACATAGATTGGTTAGCTAGAGATGAACCTATAAATTTTGACTCTGAACCTCGTTTTGTTAAAACTAATGATTATTCTATGACCATTACTAAGACTATTGAATTGGATTCTGGAATGTATACTTGTTTAGCTAGAACTGAGTTAGATCAAGCAACAGCTAGTGCTATGCTTATTGTTCAAGTAAATAATTATTGTTTGTAGACATAGTATTAAGTAAGAAGTGATTACATTTTTTTTTACATATTTTAGGATAAACCCAATCCACCACAACTATTGGGAATCACTTGTAATAAAAGAGATGCTGCTGTAAAATGGCAACCGAAAGGAGACAATCGAGCACCTATCCTGCGCTACACCATTGAGTATAATACCAGTTTTGCTCCTGATACTTGGTCAGTTGCATCAGATAATGTTCCTGCTTCTGGTCAAACATATATTGTACCAATGACGCCATGGGCCAATTTTACATTTCGAGTTATTGCAATGAACAAAATTGGTAGATCAAATCCATCTTTACATTCAAGTGTCTGTACCACTCAACCAGATGTTCCTTATAAAAATCCAGAAAATGTTGAAGCTGTGGGTACTACACCATCTAACCTTGTAATTAGCTGGACAGTAAGTAATAATTTAAATTTTAGATATTGTTCTACTAAATTAAAATTAAAATATTATTTAAATGTCTAGCCAATGCCAAAAATTGAGCATAATGCACCAGGATTAAGATACAGAGTTTACTGGAAACAAGATATACCTGGCCAAGTATGGAATTCAGAAGAGATAACAGACTACACTGTAAACCAATTAGTAATAGAAAATCAACCGACCTACCAACGTTATAAAGTAAAAGTAGTTGCTTCAAATGAAAAGGGTGAATCTAATGTTCAACAAAAAGAAGTTATTGGATATTCAGGCGAAGATGGTAAATTAAGAATCATTGTTAACTTTTACTGTTTTAGTTATAATTCTTGATTTGTTTAGTTCCTGTTGAGACTCCTCAAAATCTAACTGTTTTAAACGTTACTGGGAGTAGAAGTGCAATATTAAGCTGGGATCCAGTTTCACCAGAATCTATCAAAGGAAACTTTAAAGGCTACAAGGTAAATAAATTTATAATTAAATTTTAATACCTWTATTATCTAAGTGGATTATATTTATTGATTACTTGATATAGATTCAATTTTGGACTGATAGAGATGGAGAAAGCAATATGATTGAAGAACATGTTAGTGCAGATACGACAACAGCAGAAATCAAGAAATTTTTGCCAAATGCTAAACATTTTGTCCGTATACTTGCATACAACAATCGTTTTAAAGGAGTACCTAGTCAACCAATAACTTTTAATACTCCAGAAGGAGGTAAATAAAGCTTTAGGATATTATGATTTATTTTATTTGACAATGTAGTAMAATATTTGGCTTATTCAAGGCTTAGTGTTTCTTGTGTATAAAATTATTATTTATTAATATATTTGATTAAAAATCAATTTGTAGGATTAAATTAATTTTAAAATGTTATGATTAGTTCCTGGACCTGTTCATGGAGTTGAAGCTGAACAATGGGGCTCTTCTGCAATTTTGTTAAGTTGGAAACCACCAGAAGAAGCAAATGGTATATTAACCGGCTAYGAGATTTCTTATGAAGCCATGACTCAAGAAGGCGTTGGAGAAAAGTCACAACGTCCTTCTATTAATGATCCTAAACAGACTAATGCTAAATTGGCTTCACTCAAACCATCAACTAATTATCGAATCTACATTAAAGCTACTACTAAGGCTGGCGTTGGTGAACCGTACGTGTACATTTTTTGTATTTAAAATTATTTRAAATAATTATATAATATTCCATTATAGATTTTTCATTGAAACACAAACCAAACCTCCCTTACCCGAAGGAACTGAATTGGATAAACCAGTATTCCATTATGAGCATAAAGCTTATAATAATGTTTTTGATACAATTCGAATTTTGTGGACTCCTGAACTTAAAGGAAACCCGGGATCTCACTTCTTTGTAAAATACAAGTAAGTAAAAATTAAAATTAAAACAATACCATTCTTTTTTCATGTATTTTCACATAATTTAAATTAATTTTTATAGACTTAAAGGTGCCAACTTGTACGAGGAAACTAAACCTGAACTTGACAAGAATTTTATTGATGTAAAAGGCTTGAAACCAGGAGAATTGTATGAATTTGTCGTAGTTGCTGTAGATGGTAATACCATGAAAGAATCAGATATTGCTGAAATTGAGGCATCAAGCACTGGTACATTTTTAATGCTAAATTCTTATTTTATTATTTTTTATTTGATGTATGTTGGTAACTGATTAAAGAAGATTTTTATATATTAT